TCCCTCTACCTCTTTGAAATCATGGTTATCCGATAAAATCAAGGGAACAACTAGTTTGAGCCCCTAAATTTAGGAGAAATCTCACAGATTATAGACTCACCAAAAACGCTCGCAAAAGGTAGAGAGAGAGTTTTAAAAAAAACCATTTTTATCCATATAATGTTGGGAGAGGTAGAAAGAGGATATGGAGAGCCACAAGAGAGAAAACAAATTTGGATTATGAAAGTTGTTTTTTTTTTTAAATTCCCATTTTGACATGAACAAAATGGACACGGTGGTAATAACGGAAACTATTCGATAGAGCTGTAATAACGGAAACTATAACGAATATGTATGTAATTTTCTCTAAATGTAATATGTGTAGCATAAATTTGACTATAAGCACCATAACCTTTCCAAGCCACTCTGAATAATGATTGAAAAAGAATTAAACATTTTCCATCTCTTTCTCTCTAATCATAAAACCCAAAAACATACTTTCTCAATAATTATTACCCCTAAAAAAAAATGTAACCCAAAGTAGTAGCTATTACAATGAGTTGTAATGGACAATTTAAAATGTAATTAAAATCTTTAAGAAGAATACACTGGGCTCTAGTAAAAACAGAAGCAAAATAGAACATCGTATTTTTCGTCTTTGTTTGCTTAAATATTATGTTTCTAATCTCTTCAGTGATTTTTGGCTGTAATTTTATACTATAGAATTAAGGTGCACATAAAAAATCCAGTAGGAAATAATGTTTCGAAGTTGGTAAACCTTCGACCTCCAAAAGTATGAATATAAAGAAAAAAAAGAATTTCAAGCCATAAAAATAGTGCATCATGTAACAAGTTATTTAGACCTTCTATTTCAAGATTTTTAAGTGTTCATAGATCTCTTTGATCTGCATAGTTTTTGAAATATTAAATTTCATTAGTTAACGTTGCATATGGATTTTCAAGCTATTGTAAAATTTTCGACACCAAAACCACATCATTTGGCAAATTTTAGAGGTGCAATTTACTTAAAGTATAAGATCCCACCTTATATGAACTTCACCCTTTATAAAAGGATGAGGTTTCTGTGAGATCTAGGCTGTATGAAAACAAAATAAAGCCTCACCTCAAATCTTCATCTAGAAAGTACTTTCGGTGATTGAAATCCCTATGATGGCTCTAAAATCAATTTCCAACGTTGACAAATAAAATTTGAAACTCAAAAAATGGTACAGATCTTACGGACTTGTGAATACTTATTTTCAAAGTAAAATGGACAATCTAGATAATTTGTTTTAATATACATTATTTTTAGAGTTTGAAATCCTAATTTGTTTTCACAACCATAATATTCAAGTCGAGATGATCAATATAAAAGTTTTCCAATGCTTGACTTACAATATGCAATGAGTTATGAGGTGAGGATTTACTTATCTTGATAGGGTTGCAGCCCTATCAAACCATTTTCCTTTAAAAAATGATACCCTAGATAATATAAGTCCTTACATAAAACATATCTTCCTAAAATGCTTTGTATTTAAGATGAGGTTTATGAGGCACTTACACAAAAGAAAAGAGATTTTTATAAGGACAAGGCTTCATGAAAACAAAATAAAGCTACACCTCAAATACTCGTCCGGAAAGCACTTTCACAAAGGAAATATCCATGATGGCTCTAACATCAATTTTCAACACCAACAATAAAAATTAGAACGAAGAAAATACTATAGATCTTGTGGTTTTGTGAACACTTAACTTTTGGGCGAAATAGACGTTCTAGATAATTTGTTACAATATAACTATTTTAGAGCTTACAATCCTAATTTTTTTTTCACAACCATAATGTTCAAGTCGAGATGACCTATGTAAAGGTTTTTCGATGCTTGAAATCTAATTTTGGATGAGTTATGCAGTGAGGCTTTACTTACTTCGATAGCATTGTAGCCTATCAAACTATTTTCCTTTTATTTATAGATGTAGTTTTTGTAAAAACCAAAACTTTACAAAAAAAAAAAAGAAAAAAAAGAAGAGAAAAGAACAAAGAAAAAAGAAAAAGTAAAGCCTCACCTCAAAATTTTATCCAAAAAACACGTTGACTATGGGAAATACGTAAAATAACTCTAAAAACTATTTCTACTACTAATTATTAAATATATAACTTAAAAAATAGTGCAAATTTCATAGATAAATACTTGAAAATAGACAATTTTAGATAAAAATTTCAAAATCTTATCCAAAAAACACTTTGAGTATGGGAAATACCTAAAATAACTCTAAAAACTATTTCTACCACTAATTATTAAATATATAACTTAAAAAATAGTGCAAATTTCATGGATAAATACTTGAAAATAGACAATTTTAGATAATCACAATATACACTATTTTTGAAATTCTTATCTTTTAATAACCATGATAATTAAGATCAAAATGATCAATTTGAAGATTTTCAACACCAAAACTTTATTGAAGAATTTTGAAGTAAAATCTTTACCCTGTTTTTCGTATAAGAGAAAGTATATAATGTCTTATTTTAACGTCGACGGGCGCTTTACAGTTTACACGGTGTTTTCCTCCAACGTTATTGTTTCATTTGAACCTCTACAATAAGAGTCAAGGTCATTTTATCGGTGCGGTTTTCACAAGGTTGCAACCGTAAATAATCAAATGAAGGGGTATCATCAAATTTGATAATAATAAATCATTTTGATGTAAAATATTTTTAGGATTATCTTAAAATCTATTTTCATATATCTAATTATAAAATTTTAAACTCTAAAAATGGTTAAAATCAAGTAAATCTATAAACATTTAAAAATTTAAAAAATAAATGGTCTAGATAATGTGTTGTAAGAGGCACTATTCATAAGACTGAAAATCTCTTTTTCTTTCATAATCATACTTCATGTCGAGATGCTCAATTAGAAGACTTTTGAATATTAAAATAAGGAAAAAATTTATATGAAGTCAAGGCTCAAAACAATCAAATTAGAGCCTATCTCAAAAATTTCACTAGATGAGGTTATTATGATACTCAAATATATTCAAATTGATCATCTCGACATCAAGATCTATGGACATAAGAGAAAAATGGATTTTAGATTTTATAAATAGTGCATTTTGTAACGCTTTTTGGATTGTCAATTTTCAAGTATTCATAGATTTGACAATCTAAAATTATTTTAAAGCTTTTAAACTTTATAAATTAAAATTAAAATTTATTTTAAAGCTATCATAAAGGTTTTCAGTATTGAAACCACCTTTCTCGAAACTATTTGAAGGTAGGCACTAATTTGATTGTTTAGAGCCTAAGCTCTATACAAATCGCACCCTTAAAATAATATTTTCGGATAGATTTTTGAGGTCCATTCGTAGTTCATAAATTTTTTCTTTTCATCAAAGGTAAGGTCAAATTTAGTCATTCATACTTAACATCCACTACAAGCGTCGCACGTGTAACTCGGTTGACCTCCATAAAACTGCCACAGGAGGGGTGCTCTTGAATTTCAAAGCACGTCGCGAGGAAGGTCCCGTGTGGTAGCAGCAGCTGCTGTATCATTTAGGGTTTTTCTCTCTCTAAGAAGGCGTTTTAGGGCTTCTCTCTCTCTCTAAGAGGTCCATCTCTCTCGTCATTCAATTCCCAGAAAAACTAGACACAGTCTGCTTTCTTTGTTATTTATTTTTATATTTAGGGCTCGAATCAGGTGCTGTATTTGTTGTCTGTAGTCGGTTTTGCATGTTTGTCATGATTTCGGCATTGGTGTGAAACATTAGAGTTTTGATATCGGGTCTCCGAGTATGTGTTCTAGGGTTTGTACTTTGTACATTGATTCGAAATACTAGGGTTTTGAAATGGGGTTCTATGAGGTGCGTGTAAGTTCTTCTAAGGGTTAGGTTTTTTATTTTGGGGTTTTGTGGGATGGTTTTGTTTTCTTGCCTGTTTCAGTTTTGAAACCCTACTTGATCATATATTAAAAGCTTAGGCAATCTCTAGGGCAAAAGTTTTTTCTCTTCAGAATTTGGGATATTGGTGCGCCGGGGCTTGCTAGACTATGGTAGCAATTGTCTGGGTGTATTTATCTTTTAGAATCATGCCCCTGTCTTGATTGGGGATGCATATTGTTTGATATTTTGTTAGAAAAAGTGGGATGTTGATTAGTTTTGTTATGAATTGCGCAATGAAAGGTTAGCTTTTTTGTCTCGAGGTGTTACGTCAAGTGTGGTGGTTCCTTTTCATGATTGGTAGTCTTTGAACGATTTTGTTCCTTGAACTCCTGGTTTGGGTATATTTTTGACCCAGCCTAAACTTTGTCTTAATATCAGCTTAAGATCACCCTAAATACTCTTTAAATGGTTTACTCGTGTGAAAATATGAATCTTAAACCACGAAGTATGAATCCTTTTGAATCCTAAACCACAAATTGACCCTTAATTTAAAGTTTAAAAGAAACTATCAAATAACCCTTGGAGAGGTGGTTTGGACAGTAAAATATTGTCTTACTGGTTAATTTGATTCCATTTCATGTTGATTTTTCCCCTTTTTGTTATGTTTTATGTGGAGCTTACACGCCTCATTTTCACTTTCTCTGTGGCCAAATTGTCATCTTGTCCATGAATGGGTGGTTGTAACTGAAAATCGTGCTTTTATTTCATCTATATCAGATTATATATTGTGATTTTTCAGGCTTACAATGAGAAGGTACAGTCCTCCAAGGAGGGCATATGGGGGTAGGGGAAGAAGCCCACCCCGGGGCCGACATGGAGGATATGGTGGGCGCAAAGAGAGTAATAATGGTAGTCTTCTTGTTCGAAACATTCCTCTTGATTGCAGGTATCTATTTAATATAATTATTTTATTTCATTCTTATATAATTACATCTATTCATACATTTTCCACAAAATATTTCCATGAGAAGTTTTAGGGCTAAAGAAATGCAGATTTGTGTCGCAAATACTCATTGTTGTTTCTGTTTCTTTAATCTTTGGGAATTATTTACCATCTGAGATTTTATCAAAATTTACAGACCCGATGATCTTCGAGTGCCATTTGAACGCTATGGGCCACTACGAGATGTGTATCTGCCGAAAGACTACTATACGGGGTGAGCTAGACAGTCATATACTCATATGTAATGCATCTCTTAGGCTGACAATTCCCATTTCTCATCTTTTGCAATACATTTTTCCTCCATTATCAAACCATGCCAATAATTGTCATAATTTCTGTCTTGAACTTTAACTGTTAATTGCAATATCAGGGGGAGGACAGTAGCTATGTGGTCCTTCAGGCTTGTCCAAAATGTATTCTGAATGTTGTGGGTTGTGGATTTGATGATGTCGGAGTTTGATTTTGATACTGTATCATTTTGGCCTATTTTCTTTGCAACATTATTGCTTTTATAAATGGTATTTATGTGTCCTTCAGGTCCAAAAATTATTCTGAGTTGCAGTCCTGATGATGTAGGAGTGTGATTTTGATTCTGTATCATATAGTCGTACTTGATTTGTAACTCTGTGGTTTGCAATTTTCCCGCTAGGGTAATTTGAGAAGGAGCTGGATATGCTTTTTGTTTGCCTCTCACAATTCTTTTTCTTCATAGTGAGTTGCTTTGACCTGGTGCCCAGGGGTGAAACATTTCAAGTTTAAACACGTCCAAGACTCTTTGACTATGATGACTTTTCAGTGTTGCCTAACATGTTGGTATCTTCGGGGGTATATAATAATGTTCAAATGAAGAAGTTCCTTTGTGAAGAAAAATAACATAATATCCCACATTAGAAGTTATGATGAGAAGAGAACGTTGGGCAATTGAAGTGGGAAGCATGAGAAGATAGGTTTGAAGCAATGTTGAAATCCAGTGCTTCATGTATTATCAAGAATGTGAAGAATTTGAAGTTTCATGCATTTTTTGAAGTTGCAGTTCATACTGAATGTATTAGAAAGGTCAGCCACTAAGCTTGGTTTGCTAGCTGCTTTTACATTAAATGCACACTTCTTTCAATCGAAGTGTCATTGAGGTTTAGATGGTGCATAGGCAGCATCAGACGTTACAAGACATACTATGTACATAATTTGGCAAACTACTAGGAAATGGGGTTTGTAAACCTACATCTTAATGCCCATTGTCATCATAAATAAGTCTTGGTTGTTCTTTGGCAAATCTACTGAATTCTGAAATTTGAAAATGTGCTTGCAGGGAACCTCGTGGTTTTGCATTTGTGCAGTTTGTAGATCCTTTTGATGCTGCAGAGGCCCAATATCACATGAATGGACAAATGTTTGGTGGAAGGGAGATAACTGTGGTGCTTGCTGCAGAGACTAGAAAGAGACCCGAGGAAATGCGAAACAGAGCAAGAGTAAGGTACAAGTCCGCCGTGAAATCCCAAGGCTCAACCACTGTGATTTTATTGTCCATTCTTTCTATGCTGATGTGGTTCATCTTTGTAATTTTATTTTGTACCTGTGGAGTTTCCTTGTTTGTGTCCACATTTTCTTCCATTTTCTTCTGACAATAACATGTCTGATGCACCAGAGGTCCTTCAGGCTATGATGGACGGCGATCATCTTATTATGGTACACTACCTTCTTTCATATAACTAATATGTTATTGAATTTTTAGCTCTATATCTAATATGTACCAATTGTATTGTCTTATGTGCGAGAATGAATCTTTGGATACCTGTCATGGTATTTCTCAAACTTTGAGTTATTGAATATGGACTGGTGATTCCTGAACTTAAGGTTTTACAGAAATCAATGCAAGTTGTGCATGATCTGCGACTAAAATTGTTGAAGTTCTAGATTTCACAAAATGACATTTTGTGTGTTATAATTCAAGGGCATATTCTGTTTTTGGGTTACTTTCTTTTGGTACTTATTGTGTTCTGTGTTGTTAGTTCACATGTTTTACCCTTCCATTATGTTCCTTGGTGGTGTTAATTGAGATCCTGTGCATGTCATGTATGCAGAGACTTGCTATTGATACTGTTAAGTGCCATGATTACATTGTTCAAATGGTTGTATTTGATTTCTTTCTGATTATATAAGGTAATAGATGATACCTTTCCTTGATTCAATTCTTAATTTTCAATGATCTCTAGTTTGGTAGGGCCTAGGCATAATTTCTTTCCTCCCTGCACAGTTCATGTTTGATCCTGCTTGCGATGATTTCCAGGACATCCATATTCATCTCCATGATGGTTTGCAGGATATAGGGCCTTTTTTTATCTTCATGTTGAGGCCTCATGAAGCCTCTCTGTTTGTTCAGATATCTACAATTTGAACTGTTGACTTGTAAAATTAACTGGTCAATCTGCTTATTCTTCTGAGAGTCTCCAGTATGATCTGGCTATATCAGTAGTTGGTTGTGATCCTGTTTGCGAGGCATGTAATACTTGTACTAGAATTTTATTTTAGAAAAATTGAGAATTTCTTATTTGGATGTGTGTTCCACGTATGACAGGCGATTCAAATCCTGGACTCATGAATATGGCCACCTCTTTTGGGTGCTCAGACTTCCTAGGTCTCCGAATATAACTCATTTGAGAAATGCATTTCAAGTTGGACCTGACGCATAGGATTGAATTTAAAAAAAAAAAAATGAAACGAAAGAATTTTTTTAAAACACAACAGGGATTATTATTGCTGTAATTTGATTGGCTAATTCTGAATGCATTTTATAATTTTGGCTG